ATTACACATTTTGCAAAGCACGTGACGGGAATGAAACAACCATTTTGTTCAAAAGATGTTGTATTTGTAAACTTTCTATGCATCGCATCGCAAGGTATCACACCACAATGTGAACGAAATTGAACTCATTTTGAACACCGAGTATTCGCATCGTAATAATCAGGCAGCGAACCGACTTACAACTCGATAAGAAAATGTACAAAGGCATGATATAACTAAACAAGTGTGAGTACAACTCGATAGACAAATCAAAAACAAACTCAAAGAGAGTGAAATACACCTCGATAAACAAATGTACAATAACTCGATAAGCGGACAGGTGTGACTCTGCAAGAATCGATCACCGGGGGAGGGATCGGTGGTGGTGGAGTTCCCCAATCCCTAGCATAAACAGCTCAGGGAGCCAGGAGGAAGCCCATCGGCCAGGGGTAAAGGCCATCGGCCGCAAGGAATGGCCATCGGCCAGAAATTCATTCGGCCGGAAAAAGGTGATGGCCGGTCGGCAGAATTTTTGACCGGCCGGCTACGAATGAGGAAATCACCAGAATGTTGACACCTGTCCTCCACCCAACCTTATCTCCTACAAAAGACCCCAACTTCGTAGTTTTTCTCAATTCCACACTGATTTGCTCTGATGGAAGAGTTTCTTGCTCAAAATCTCACAGCTTGGATTGCTAGCTTGGATGGCTCGGAAAAGTTGAATTCCGGGGTTTCGGCATAAATGCACTATTCACTCTGGGTCGTACCCCGTTACACCTCCCGTTTCTTCAAGCTGCGGCAAGGTTTTGGAATCCGGTGACGCATGTCTTTAGCTTTGCTGGGCAAGAGATATGTCCTACCTTTGAAGATTTCCAAGCCTTAATGGAGTCCGAGTGCGACGAGGAGCTCCTGCCCCAACTTATTTTTGGCCATGCCCAATCCCTAGGGCGAATGTGTGGACTCAGCATGCGTGACGCTCGGTCTCTGATTTGTGACGGGATGCTGGACATTCCGAGTTTGACCGATCAGTTTTCTGATGCTGGTGATTGCAACAACCATCGCTGGCAAGGCTTCCGGCGACATGCCCTCTGTTTGTGTATGCTATCTCATTTTCTATTCGTCTCAGGCTCTGGAGGGTCTAGTGTCCGGCTGATTGAGGTTGCCCAAGGCTTAAAGGAGGGCAAGAGCTGTATTGCCATGTGTAACAAGCCCGCGGGGGACCTCGCTACAGCTCGGACTCGACTTTTTTCGTAGTCACGGTTCTAAATCTGAACCAAAGAGTCCAAATCCGGCAAATCGTTTTAGGAAAACTGATTTTTGAAAGAAGTGCCAAACATGGACTGCTTTGCCAGATACAGAGTCGCCACCTAAATATTTTATTTTGGGAAATTTAGGAAACCCTGACTTGGCTGACTCGAACTTTTTCTTGCGGATATCTAATGGCATTAAAGTCACCTAAAAAGATGCAAGGAAATTTGGATTTAGTGTGGGAGATATGATACATGGTTTCAAAAATATTCTTCCTCAAAATGTGCTTATTTTCAGCATAAACAAAAGTAGCATAAAACTCCTCATTAGCAACCAAATCAAAGATTTTACAAAAAATAGGCTGATTGGACATAAAAATCAATTGGACATTACAAAATTCATTGTTCCAGCACACCCAAACCCTACCAGTTTCAGTTGGTTGTGAATTCGACAAAATAGACCAATTGCCAAAACACTGAGCAAAAATTTTACTCTCATTAATCAGTTTTATTTTGGTCTCCAAAACACCAATGACATGAATATTTTCTTTTAAAGCCTTAAGCTTAGTTGCCTTATGTTTAGAAGGATCATTCAATCCTCTAACATTCCAAGCAGCAAGTTTAACAGTCATTGGGAAACAAAAATAATAAGACAAACCCACAACCAACTAAAACTAGCAGTTACCTCTTCTTTTTCCTCTGGCTACTACTTTCTTTGCCAGAGGATTTGATCTTTGTTGTCTGGGTAGCCTGATGAGGGGGCACAACCGGTTTGGATATCTCTTTTTTGGTGGTGGTATCACTAGTCACTGCCTCAAGAAACTCTACAGCCTGAAGAATTACCAGTTTTGTAATCTCCAGGACACTTTCTTGGAATCTATCCACTCCACTGCTTTCGGAGCTCTGTTCTTCCACAGATGAGAAATTTTCAGCCAATGTCTCATGAATCTCCCCTCGGCCAAAAAATAATCGAAACCCAGCCCACAACAACAAAAGCTAAAACAACACAAAACTAACAAAACAGACAGATCAGTCCTAAAACTTCATCACTGACTGATAGAAACTAAGGCGAACCAAGTCAGAGATTGTAAAAAACCATGTCCTGCAAAGGATAGGGGTTTGGTACAGCATGAGCACACAACAGCTAAAAACTATGTCCTGTATTTTGCACACAGCAACACAGATTGTACAAAAACCATGTCCTGCATTTTGCACACAGCAACACTTTATAGCTATTGGAAGAATAGCATAACAGATTCAGCAGATCTCTTTTACCCGAGGTCATATCCAGCAGCACCATTAAAATAAAGAGAAAATAAGACCAAACCAAGAACCTCCTACACAACTCGTAGGAGTAGGCGCCTTTACCATTAACTAGGAGAGTAAAACTATCAAAGAGTTTTATATACAAACAAAAATTAAGACAACTGATAAACACACACATATAGCTTGACAAGGCGCTGGAAGCAGCCATCCCCAAGGTACATGTCCAAACAGTTTGATGCCTTCTAGAAGGGCGCAAAATGCAGCCACCGCCACTCCACCATACCATGATCAGATATACCTACCCAATATAGAGTAATAGATGAGTATCGGAACTGTATAGACAATCATAGAGAAGCAAAAAAAGCATACACTCAATTTCGGACCTCCCATCACTCAACCCACATTTTAAGAAATCTCTCCACTCAATCTAGTGTCTCACTTCACTTGACCCACTACTCACATCCTCACACAGAACCCACAGAGAGAATGAGTACGTGATAACTTCCTTAACCTGCATAAAAAAATATATAATATATAATAATGATTAGAACTTCATATATGTGCAATCTCACTTCCCTCAACCCACATTTGATATACAGAATATCTGGGCTCACATCACTCAACCCACCACAAGACCTATCCGAACTTGCTAATGGATAGGAAACCATCATTGAATGGAATTGATTAGTTCACATGCCAACCTGCAAAAGAACACCCAGATTAAATAAACACTCACTTTATGCTTACCCTCACTCAACCCTCAATATGGGTGATCTCACACCACTCAAACTCCTTCCAGCAACATACGGCTGAGATATCTTCATGATCTTAGGTGGAAGATTCCATTGCCTCATAAACTAGCTATCACCTGCAGATTTAGTCACATTTTCCATAGAAAGAACTCTGCCTCTAACCATTTGGATAATAGAGTTAGTAACAATCTCTTCAGGTTTGGATACCTTACGAAAGATTCTACTATTTCTCTCCATCCAAATATGGTACGCAGTGCAAAGGGAGGACAGTTTCATGATTACAGATTGCAAGGTTTTGCCTTTTAGTGTCTTGGTAGCATAATCAACAGTCTCCACCCAAGACAAATTAGGCCAGCTAGTGTTACACTTAGTCTGGACAGCAGCCCAAATCCTAGAAGAATAAGCACACCTAAAAAAGAGATGGGTGTGGTTCGACTCAGGAGCTTGACAGAAATGGAAACTAGGATTAGGAACAAGACCAAACATTTGTAATCTATCACCAGTATTCAGCCTCTCATTATTGGCCAACCACACAACAAAACTAACCCTAGGAATTAATGGAGGTCCCCAGATCAGTTTAGACCAAGGAACTTTGGGACCCTTATCCCTCCAATAGTCCCAAGTAGAATGAATAGAGAACATACCATCAGCAATCAAGCTCCAGAAGGGGGTATCAAGAGAATCTTTGAAGGGCTTTAGGGTTGGAGTGGTAGAAGAAATCCACTATGTCTTCCATGAATTAGTGATAGGCCACTTCCAAGAATCATTGGAAATTATGGAGCTGACTTTGGTAATATCAGGTAGGTTCGTATCATACAAGATCCTCTGCCCATACCTATGCCAAAGAGAGCCAAGAGGGTGCCAGTTATCAAACCAAAGAAACACATTTTCCCCATTACCAATTTTGAATTTGATAAGAGGGAAAATTAAATTCCTAAGAGATAGAAGTTTCCTCCAAACCCAAGAAGGATCACTAGGCATTTTAGTACCCCAGAAACTCTTACCTTTGAGCAAGTAAGACTTAACCCATTGACACCACATAGAACACTCCCCACCGGAAAACAGAAACTAGACATGTTTGGCTATAGCAGCCTTGTTCCAAACCTCCATATCCTTAAAGCCAAGACCACCTTCATTCTTATGTTTACATATATTCTTCCAAGCAATCTTAGCACTATGCTTCTTCAACTCAGTCCCAGACCACAGAAAAGATCTAAGAAGACTTTCAATGTCATGAATAACCTTCTTAGGAAGAATAAAAAGCGAGGACCAATAGACTTGCATCGAAAAAAGAGTTGAGCTCTACCATCATAAGATAGAAGTTTATTAGTCCAAATTTTAATCCTATTAGTTATTCTATCAATCAGAATTTGGTAATCAGATGCCTTAAGCTTAGTTGTGATCAAAGGCACACCTAGATACTTCACAGGGAGTGAGCCCTCAGTAAAATTAGCAATATGACGAATGGCCTCTTTAACCTCCATACTACAACCCGAGAAGTAAATGTTACTCTTGCTAGACTAGGTGTGAGGCCCGACAAACTCCTAAACTCCTCCAAACCCTGCATAATGAGGATGATAGTATGAGGATCCCCTTTACTGAAGATCATCAGATCATCAGCAAAGCACAGATTGACGATTTTGGTTTTCTCACATCTCCAATGATACTTGAACAAAGGGCTACTAGCCTTTTCAGCCAGAATTCTGGCTAAGATCTCCATAGCCAACACAAACAAGTAGGGGGACATAAGATCCCTCTACCTAAGCCCTCTAGCCCCTTCGAAGTACCCACAAAGGCTGCCATCAATACAGATAGAGAAAGAATGACTAGTCACACAAGCCTTTATCCAAGTTATCATACAAGGAGGAAAAGCCATCGCAGTGAGAATATCAAGAATAAATTCCCACCTCACATTATCATAAGCTTTCATAATGTCAACTTTCATAGCATACTTTGGGGTTTTAGAATTCCTATGACAGCCTCTCAAAATCTCTTGGGATAAAATGATATTGTCAGAGATTCTTCTGCCTTGGACAAAGGCAGATTGCACTGGGTCTATAAGATCAGGGAGCACCATCTTAACTCTGTTAGCCATGATCTTAGCAATGCATTTATAAATGGTGTTACAACATGAGATGGGTCTGTAATCACCAACTTTCATGGGATTAGAAATTTTAGGAATAAGGGCTATGATGGTACTATTGATTTC